GAGTGTGTGTGTGTGTGTGTGTGTGTGTGTGTGTGTGTGAATAGTTTGAAGATACGTGCTCAATACTGCATAGACCGGCGTCTGTGGTGAGGCGGTTAGGCGCTTTGCTGTCGCACGCAGTAGACCCGAGTGAGCGGTTGGTGGGCGCTCTTGGATGGTTTACTTATATTTCTGTCAAACATCTATCGTCTTTATCTCCCCCTCCTTCTTTTTTGGGTTTGTTACTCCCTTGTAACACCCCGAATCCTCGGCACTTATATGACCTTATTGTGTTGCAAGTGCCGTAAAACACATACTAAAACAAGAAGATCCGAGTTCGACTCTTGTGTGGAGAGAACGTTTTATCGAGTATCTCGGTCTCGGTTTTCTGCCGAGATATTGTAACCTTCTCAGGTCAGGTTGGCCCTGACAGGCAGGGTCGGAACCGAAAGACAAATTGTTTCGTTGAGGCGAAGCGTAAAAATTACTAAAAATAGGCCTACTTATATTAAAAAGAAACTTAATGCTGTATACCAAAGAAAGTGTACCTTGGATATGGCTGGCGGAGCGTTCGCTCTAGGTGACGCTCAAACGGGGGCGTAAGTCGCGAGCTGTGTGCTGTTTTGTCCTAATTCGAATTTCCAACTTTTGAGAATTTTTGTCACATATTCTGCCGAGGCTGTTCAAAACTCCTCCCACAGAGTCCAGAACTACATGTACTACGTAATGCCCATGTTCCGTAGAAACTTCAATTTCATTTTGCACCAAGACCTGTTTTTTGCGACTGGAATCCAGTGCCTTTAAAAGGAGATTTACGTCAAAACCGGGAAATAGAGAAAGCACTAGATAAACTGCAGCACTAAGTTTTCAAAGTATAGCAATTTCTTCATACAAGCATTGCGCTTCTTTGATTCGCCTCTGACTCCTAATTTTGACTTATTGACCAGTAATAATTTTTTTCTTCGTTTTTTTAAGGGGGGCTGGGTGATTTTTTATGGGGAAATATTTTGTTGATCTTTCTAGTCTTTTTTTCTTCTAATTCTATTTTCTTTCTTCTTTCAGGACTGTCAAAATATCTAACAAGAAAATAAATCCGCACCGAATATTCTTCTGGATGGATGTCCTAAAGGCAGACACAGACCGGCGCTCACCCCTCCTCTCTCGCCCGACGTCCGGCAGACGACCAATCTCGCATGGAAGTGTCCGAGCACAGACGTCAGACTCTACTCCAGGTCATCTCGGTGCTCGCGCTGCTCTGTCTCTTCTCCTCCTTCGTGCTGTTTGTGTGCGCGGCTCACGTCAAGCAGACCATCGACTCGCGCATCGCGCTCATTGAGACCTACGACAGCAACGCTCTGCCCGGGCTCTTCCTGTTCATGGGCGTGGTCAATCTGGTGCAGAACTTGACCTGCTTTATCGTCTGCTACCGATTGCGTGACGTCGAAAACAGGTTTGATTTTGTAAAACTGCCGTGTTGTTAGTTTAGTAAGGTTTTACGGCGCTCGCAACTGCATAAGGTCATATGAGCGCCAAGGTGTGGATGATAAAAGAGAAGTACAAACGCCAAGTTGTTATACCCAGCAGCGATACATCAGTATCAAATACAGTCAATCCTGCTCGAACGGCCAGTTGACCATGACAATCACCTGAACAAGCAAATTCTTCCCCAAACCTCCCTTGCCTTTTTCTATATAGTGTATTACATGTATAATGACACTGTCCAAGAGGACCACTTGTCTAAGATGGCCTCTTTACTCCTCGACAATGCGTGGTTGTGTCTTGGAAAGTTTCGACCTTTTAGTTTTAGTAAGATTTTAATGGCAACACAATAAGGTCATATAAGTGCCGAAGATTAGAGGTGTTACAAGAGAGAAACAAACACCAAAACGGAGGAGGAGAGAGAAGGACGATCGTTTTTTTAATATGAAAGAAGGAGCAAAC